TCCTTTCATCCCCTTTTAAAGGCTACATTTACGAGTACGGCCTACTTCCCCTTTCTTTAATGTATTGTATTATATTGTCGCATACCGTATTCCGAGAACGACGATATCAACAATCGTGAAAAATAAAGACATTATTACATCTGCTAACGTTGCGAACGGGGTTAAATCAATTTCTAAACAGAGATTGAAGACATTAGATCATGTTTGAGAAATTGTTTTGCTTTGGATAACTGAAAAACAGTGTGCTGGCGATACCGTATCAGAAGCAATTATTTGCGAGAAAGCTAAAAAGATACATGCTGATCTTATGAAAAATCGAGCAGGAACTAGCCAGGAAAGCGAGGTGTTTGAAGCCAGCCATTTTTTTTCATGAGAACGGATTACTTATTTTTACATTACTTCTTATGGGAAAGGTTTGGTATACGTCCTATTCGGTATAAGTCCAAACATTAGGAACGCATTAAGGTCGTATACCAAGGTTCCACTGTATATCGTTATATAATGAGATTTTTTCAAATATAGTGTTATTTATTGTAGGAATTATGTTGAAAGTTAAAAAAGCATGTTTCTCAGTTTTGTTCGGCCTCAGATCGGAAAGATCTGCCGCAGGATCACTAGGATGTGTTTTTAGTATTATTTAATTCGGGAACAGGAAGTTTGTAAGAGTCCCCAGTCAGTTTTTCTTGACTCCAGACTAATTAGAGCTTTAGGCACGCTACTGTGATGACTAAATTTAAAATGTTTTTCCAAGAGGGAGAGTTCTTGGACCGGTGATAAGACTGGCGTTGAGTTGAGTTTAATAACCAGACCAGTTAAAGTAACAAAACAAAATTTAAAGAGATCCAAAATATAAAAGGCAAATTAATCGACACATAAAGAGAAGCCAGACTTCTATCTAATCGCGAGAGAGAACCATCTTACAACAACTTAGACGTACTATGTCAACAGTAGCTCTGAACAGTAGCTGCAATAATTCGCCGTCTTCGCTTCATCTTATTCTAAGATAAAACGAAGATGGAGAATTATTGCCAAGCACGAAAGTCGTGGAGGAAGATAAAGACGTTGGACGCGTACACACCAGAAAATTTTTCGAGAACTATCTGAATCTAGGGAAATCGCCCTTTTTATCGTCAGTTTCGTTCAATAAAAATCATAGATTTACGTTCGCTAACTGGGGGTAGATACACAGATAATTGTCAAACTGTGAGATAAGAATGTGTGAACAAGAAGTTGATTTTCCCTTTTGGCACAAAAGTGATAAATGTGTTTCAGTTAATGAAAACAACAGTCAGAAAATATATACGTATATTGTTTTCACACTAACTGAAGAGAAAAATTTTGCTACAATGTAAAACTGGAGTTTTATTTTTTTCTCTATCGAAAAATGAGGGAAACGTCTTCGAATAAGATGCAGATTAAGGCCGTTTTCTATATCGATTTATTAAACTTTACATTTTGCAATTTACTGTACTTATATAATATCCGTTCCGATTCTCACATTATTCACATTAATTTATATTTATTAATTTTGAAATTTGACAAATTCACAATCGCTTAAATTATATTTGTGAACGATATAATAATCTGATTCAACTGGCAAAATAGAAAATTCAACCGTGGTTTATTTTAAATGACTTTGAATCAGAATTCTTAGCTTTAGCTTCTTAACATTTTCCAACAGTAAACAACAGGCGTTTATTGAGAGGTGTTTGCATATTGTTCTGAGTTACGTCAATAATATTTATCATGTTAAAATATTCGAATAAATGCAATTTCTAATATTTAGTTTATATTTTAAAAAACAATATTCATTTTTCTGGAATTATCAACATTACATTAAGTATAAAGTAAATAATTACATTTTAATAATGAACACAGCGATGAGAATATAAAAAAGTTTTAATGTTACTATAAGGGGAATCGCTCGAAAATAATATAAATTGACTTACGTAGTCATTTAAAAATTAATGGTGATTAATGTCAACAAATTTCTTAACAAATTAAATAGACCATTGTATTAATAGAAGAATGTTCAAAAAATTCGTGTGTTTCACAAAATGTGACTACAGTAGACCACATTATAACGCGAGTTCATACGATGCGGATTCGTATATCGCGGCGAAAAAGTTGCGACCGTATTCGTATAAAGACGGTGAAAGAGACTCGTAAAATGAGGTAAAACGTCATCGCCGACTCGTGTCGCGACAGGATTGGTCGAATCTGGACCAATAGTGGACGAGCAGCCGAACTACTTACACGCTAGGGAGAGTTTAGGCGGGTAAGTTGAGTTTACTATCATCTTTACAGTATATAGGTCTAAATTAGGTACTGTAAGTCTAATACAGTACTGTAATTTTATACGTTTCTTACTCAACGGCCTTAAAAATTATTTCTATTAATGATATCTCCAAAGTTCAACGAATTTTTCGCAGAAAACGTGCCCGCCGTTTGGTGCGCTGCTTCGCGACGAAAACAAGCTTAAGCAATGGCGACGTCGAACGGTGTACACTCGGTAAGTAATCCTACAATTTTTTGTTTAGAGCATAGTTTATACGGATTATTCCCAAAAACCTATACGTGTTTTAAAAATATTGCGTGAAATTAGTCTAGAATCGAATAATTTTATGAAATAAAACCTTTGAAACAAGCCGTAGTCCGTAAACTGCACACGTACCGGGCTGTGATTGGCTCATGTATTTAAGGATTCCCACAACGCGAAATTCTTATAAAGTGGAACGTATCTACCGCGTTATAGGGAGGTCGACTGTATATGTTTTGTTCTATACACAAAGGTATACAATTGTGAAAATCTGACGATCGTATGAAAATTTTTATATGTCTTTCGTCATTATTTCCGTTATTTCTCCCGTTCTCATCCCGTTGTCCGAGGTATAGACCCCGGATAATTAACTGCGTAATTCGTCCGTCAAGAAGGTCATCCTTAGGACGAAGTCGTCCGAGGCGACCGCGAAAGAACTCCCCTCTCCCCGGGACGTTTGTTTGTTTTTACTAATTGGTCACACCGCAGATACCTTGTAAAAGAGTAGTCTCCTGCGGGTGTCCGGTTGACGGAGACGGACGGGTGTTCCTGTATTGAGAGTAGACAAGAGGTCACCTACAAGGGTCATCCTTACGGTGAGAACATTACCAAAATGGTCAGTCATCTCCCCAGGTGATGACGAATTTAACATTAATTGGTCAAGCGATGTCTGCATTGTCGTCACCCATGACGGGGGAGACTATCATAAATCGGGAGAAGTGACAGTTTGCGTCAGAAAGTCCCCGAGATTTCCCACGCTAAAAAAAGTATAAAAGGGGAATGATCGGAGATCTCGAAGCGATCATCGGAGGACGAAGACTACAAGCGTCTACTCTCGAAGGACTTTACGGTTTCTTATCGCCGACCTAAAGAGGTAAATACTTAGATTGTTTTTACTTCACTCTCTCTCGGTATACTCGGGACTTAGAATTATGTCGTTTACCGAGATACTCGGAACTTTGAATTTATTTATCTGTTCCTTTGGATATTACTTAGAATTATTTTGTGTCGAGGACCTTTGATGGTCCCACTTACGGGATAGACGGACATCGGTTGTCCGATATTGTCGCGACTCGGAATTTATTATAATTATCGCTTTCATATTGTTTAGAATTAATGTGTAATTTTAATGTATTTGTATTATTTTCAAATTTATATTAAATAGGTTATTTTTAATTTAATGACTCTTGATAAGTACTATCGACATCTCATCACGACTTCATTACGCCTCCCACTCCTTTTGCCCTCCTATAGCCACTCTCTGACAGCGCGCCGGTAACTCTTGTTCTATCCCCTCGGTTCGCACATATTGGTGTCATCCGACAAACAAGCCTTCCGACAACTGAGAGCGGGTCTATTAGGCCCGTGCAGATTAAGCGGTCATTAGGGTTCAACCCAGTGGCCCCCTGCTACTCACACAATATTTTCAAATAAAATTCAGTGTGTAAGCAAGTCATCCTGCATCACCGTTGTTAGATATTTTCGGTAAAAAGTTAATTTATAAGTTAGAAGGACCAGAGCAACACAGCGTTATAATTGGAATTTTCTTACTTTGTAGTTTACGTGGTAAGTGCAATTGGGGAGAAACTTTCAAATTCTTTTGGGAACAAACGTAGGAAATAAATCTTTACAATTCAAAACTAAGAAAATAAATATATGTAAATAGACGTCATGTTATAATTTAATTCATAAGGCAAATTCTTAGCTAACTTGTAATATATAAAGTCGTAAAATATTAAATTTAAAAATAGTCAATCCATAGTTGATAGAAAAAATAAAATAAAATTTAATGTAAAAAACTGAAGATCCACTAACTTCCGTTTTGTAAATTATTTGGAAAAAAGATTTTCACATACAATTTATTCATTTGTGATGTCTTGAAGGTTTGAGCTTCTCAGCTATACAGCCACCAGCTTTTTCCATATTTGTTTGTTTATTTAGTTTAGTTATGGCAACGCAACACTTGGGCGATTTGCGTAGGGATTGCCTTCCGGGAGAAGTTTTTAAGGAAAACTGGCCCCTATTATGCGTTACAGACGTGGAATAAACCCGGAGGCGAGACCCCATGACCGAACACACAGTGTTCAGGGTACGAAGACAGCTCTGCCATTGGTGGGCCACTTTCCAAATACAAACGTAATGCAATTTTTCTGGACATCACGTGTATAATTAAAGATGTTACGATTAGTCATAAATGTTAAGACGAGACGAAGAAATAGCGAATGAGTGCTGTTTTTTAAAATAAATAATATAGAATAAGTACCAAGTTTGCATGCTATCGATTTTATTTTCTTAATTGTTCATACTACATTGTTTAAATTTTATAATAATCATGACATTGATTTAAATTTAAATTAATGATTTAATTATTTTTTATTAGAATATATTTATGATATTCATTGATTATATTCGTTGTCGCATTATACATGATTTAGATACGTGGTCAAGCTCTAAATGATGTTTAAATTCCGACCTTGCAGTTTTTACCTCGTATCCCACCTCCAATATTTGTTAAAATGTTGGTAGCCTCATCGAAAATCATCAGACATCTAGTTTGGTTTGTTTCGTCTTTAGGAAGACTTCCGATGAATTGTCCAACGCAATCCACTAATGGCTTATATTGTTCGCTCAGATATTGTTGACATTTGAGTTTACCAAGCTCGTGGAGGATGCACTCTAAATTATCCGTAAGGTTACCGATAAGGTTGCAGTAATCCATATTAGCTGACGGAGTAAACCCTGGAGTTTGGCCACCACCACATGAGGAGCAACTTTCCTCACGAGCATCCGGTCCAGAAAGTAATTTATTAATTTCCCTTGCAATGTAACTAACGTTCAAGCCAAGTACTTCAAGTTCCCTTAAGCATTTCTCCAAATCACTTCCAAGCTGAAAAAAGAATAGTCGTAAATGCTAAACGTCAATCCTTTTTCAAACATAATTAGACTAATAATTAAAAATTAATTTATATAATTGATAGTTTCTCTTTCGCTAAGAACTTTTTAACAAACTAAAAATTTAATGAAAATAATAATGTTAAACTAATTAAAATGTTAATCTAAAAATTTTAATATTTATTCATTTATTTGTCTAATAAAGAAAAAAAATTAAATCGAGTAACACGACGCAGTCAAGAAAAATAAAAATACAAATAGATAATGTAAAAGAACGAGGAGAAGAATCATAATATAAATGCCATAATTATCTAAGAAGACAGACAAACAGACGTACGATCATTTTAATCATTAATGAATAGCTTATTTTTATAAACAACTTGAGTCGACGTGAGAAAAAAGAAACATTTTTATTACTTTAATTAAAAAAAAAAAACATATGACGTAGCATTAAAATATTACGAAATTGATTTAATGCGAGGAAATGAAACGCCATACGTAACTAAAAGTACTTAAATATTTAATTCATTTGTGAATAATATATGGATTAGAAAAATGAATATTTGCAAGAAACAAAAGTCACAATAGTACAGAATTATGTTAAAATAATAAAATACGATAAACTAACCTCATTGAGGATACACGTTGTCAAATTATAGATATCAATATTCCTTAAAATATCAGCCACAAGTCGGACAGTAGTATAATTAAAGTTGTCTGGGACAATGTCACTTACAAACTGCACTGTATCACCTACGAAAACAAGAACGCCATTTGAGGAAGATGACGGCCATTGCAACTGACCGAGTCGTTTTGAAACCTCTTCTTCAACTATTCGTTCGAATTGCATTCCTGCAGCAAACGAAACATCTTTTTTCATTTCATTCTTCGACGCTTTGCTGTTTTCTACGGTCGCAATTCCTTAAGTAAATAAATAAAGTATAATAAACAAAAATTATTTTTGTCAAATTAACAAATTTCACATATATTTAATATAAAAGTTCACAAAACATTTACAATAGTAAGTGAAATAAATTTAATTCATTTAACTTGTTGAAAACAAGTAACATTTTAGAAATATCACGTAGAATATAAGAAAACACTATAAAATTGAAGTTTAAACATTCAAGACTAACTACTAAATTATCAATTTATAAATATAAATGTTATTATAAATTGTTAACTTACCGATAAGAACCACGAGAAAGAGAATGGTTTTCATGTTGCTTTCTGTTTCTTGCTCGCCGAAATATGCTTGAACAACCGTTTTCCATGCCTCTTTATAGCTAAGTTCTATGTTGAGTAATGCTGTTTCTCCTCCTACCTGTCAATCCAAAATTTTGACATTGCAGATGGTATTTTCAGTTTCGAATCCAATGAAATTACTTCAATTATTTACGTGGATGGTGCTCTTCCTGTTTAAGTATTATTACGTTTCCGGTGGTTATGCTTGACGTACCTACACAGAATATGTTTTATATTTAATCTAAATCACCGGTAGTAAGTTTCAATTGTTTTCTAAGTATTTAAATATATTTATTCAACTAAAAAAATATTTATTTATTATACACGTGAACTTTAAGGACTTTACGCAAACTTATCCTTGCACTCTTTAATAAAATTTGCACAGCTACTTGTACGTTTTCCCACTTACGGTTGCCCACTACGCACCTTTCCTGGTGTGCAAAAGGCTACCACTTCTATCAACTTTAAAGCCATATTAACAATCACCTTATTAAATCCATCCCGCATATTGATGGATCTATTTGCTTGGAGCATAAACTGAACTTTCCCTGGTAAAATACTGCTTCACTACATTCACCGTCCGTTTCTTGCAGAATACATATACAAAGAGATAAAAGTGGTAGAGAAATCTGTAAATTTTTATCTCTCAGGGGAGTATTATAAATTTCCAAACATCGAAGCTACATTCCTGGAAAAAATTATAACATCATGTTAAAAAATCATTCGTATGTAAAGAATACAAGAATTTAATGAGGTATTTGAAAATTTTAGTATATAACTGATGAAAACAACAGATAAATATAAATGTAAAAAACAAGAAAGGTAGATGATAGTGTTTCATCAAACGAAATAGCGGTAATTTATTAATAAAATATAGAGAATATGCTATTCGAATTGGTTCCAAAATGTAAACTGTATAGCAGACGATGAAAAACTTGCTGAAACAATTAGAAGCACTTTCACAATTCTGTGTTACAGAACTGAACGAGAGAACTTTAAATTAGCTTACACCATAATACCGTAAGTTGTGGCTTTTGTTACATGTTATACTCGTGAAAATAAACTCGAAAAACTTCACTTGGCCAATCCGTCATTTAGTCCCACCCATGACCTATTTGAAATGTTAAACAATTGTGACAACACCGTCACAAATGGGCAATTTGTAAAAGTATACTCAACTTATATAAGCATTTGTTCTAATAATTCATAAATTAAACTACAGTATTGTAAAAGCATATAAATAATTTATAAGGTTTTCTAAAATTGAAAAAACATATTTTCGGGACCAGAGGCCGTCAAAAGTTAGTTTACGTTAGATTGGGGTAGGGTCCTGCCACCAAGTGTCAGACACACCGCCGATTCAGTCAAAACCCGATAGTTAAGGCGCGAGGGTAATAGTCACTCCGAAGTCCGGGAATGAGCTTCTCAGGAGGATGAATGCAAAGTCAAATACAAATAACAAGAGTTTATTATCAAAAATTAAGTTCTGGGTAGCATTCTTGAAATCCAATTCAAGAAATCAGCCTATTTCTATCTATAAAACGAGGGGGCTGCCTAACAGGAGGGTATCCGAACTACAACATACCAGGAAAAAGATAGCCGTCTTTTCTTTTAAGTTCATTCAGTCTCCTGATCTAGTTTTTTCTTCCCTTTTGCCTGGTCCTTCACTGATGTCTGCCGGTAAATGACGTTCGCTTTTAGTCAAAATTTCCTTGCGATTATGGCGGGACGGATCTACTCAAGTCTACTGTTGATGTCCGCCGTTGATACCTTCCTTGTATGGGATGGTTCGTTGAGGCCGGTGTTTTTTACCGTTGTCTGCCGAGGAGCTTTGTCTGTGTCTGGATTTGTGCCTCTTTTATATGCTTTTCAGTGCAGGAGAGTTATGATATGGCTTACTATCGTATTGATTTGACTTTTGAGCTCAGTCATTACAGAAGCAAAACTGTTTTAACTAGTTTCTTGACTTTATATAATGATAGCGCCGACTTCACGGATGTCATCACTGACAAATCACATCATTATTTATCAATTGTTTTGGTTACTGTACTGTTGTGCCTTCTTGAAACGATGTTCAATCTCCGCTATGATCGGTAGGGGGGCAATAATATAAAAGTTGATATTATTGGAAATTCTGTAGGGAAGTCCCTAGAATCGGGAAAATAAACAAATTTCTTCTTACACTATGATCCATTTATAAACAATCTTGGTATCTTCAAGATGTGGGTTCAAAAGAAAAGGACATAAAATAATTATAATGTTTAAATACAATAAAATCTATAACTAATTAATTAAAGTGACAACAAAGTGGCTAAACTAAGATTATATAGAAAAAGTAAATACGTAAATAACAAATTCACAAATACATATATATATATATGTATTTGTGAATACTATATATATATATATATATATAGTAACAACAACTTAGGGGGAATGGTGGTCTTCACAATATTACATCAATAAATTTGGTAAACATAATAAACAGATAGTTTTTATGTAAAGTATATTAAACACGTATAATGATATAATTTACAGTTAAGATCAGGTTTAAGCTTTTGAAATAAGTAACATTTGATCCCTGCACATAAATAAAAATTTTAATATCTCAGACATTTTTTCATAAGAAATATTTCACCTAATATAAAATCTTTATCATTTCTAAAATTTGAATTTAATTATTTTTATGAAATTAGTAAAATATAAGCTTTATTCTTAATTAGGTTGCTGGTTTTGTTTAGTAAATCAACATAGTCAAAACAGAAACACCTGGAATATTTGTTTGAAGCCACGTCATTACTGGCGCCACAATCATACAGAGGTATGATTGTGGCGCCATTGATGATGTGCTAGACTGCAAATTATGTTAAAATAAAGTACATAAGTATTTTCAAAAAATAATTACATTAATGAAAGATGACATTAATATTCAAGTAGTTTGAAACATTTAAATCCATCTACAGGGCATGGGAATTCAAATTTTAACACAAGAGTCGCTCTGGTTTATTTAAATGTCAACGTAAAAAAACCTAAGTTAACAATTAAGTTTTCCAGAAAATACCTAAGAATAGTGATACAAGATGATTTGCTTACACACTGGAATATATTTTTTTAGCTGTGAATGTAAAAAACAGGATATAAATATATTTATAATTACAGATTATCAAATATCATAAATAGTAATTAATAATATTTGGTACTAAAATTATAGGAAAAGCATGAATTTCCGTTGATATTTTGGGAATACTTTATGTTTTAATAATATAATTTAAATATTAAAAATTACATTTATTCGAATAATTAAACATTACTTTTATGAATGCAAATTAAATGTAGGTCGGAGATATGTAAAAACAGTTACTAACGAACAACTGTTACTTACACGTGGCTGACCTAATTCTAAAAAATTCGATTTAAAATAATTTTTAAATTTAATTCGTTTTAATATTATTTTAATTAAAATAAAATTTAGTTTTTTTAATATTTTCACTTAATTCAGAATATTAGAAAATAAACGAATTTAATATAGGATATTATAGTTTTAAGAAATTTCAATTTCAATAAATATAAAATAAATAATAATAAATTTGTAATAACATAATTGTAAATATGATTTATTATAAATAAATAACTAAACAAATGGTGTAATAAGAGTTTAATAAACAGTTTTTAGTTCCGAAACTGTAAAGCAAGATTCAACTTCATCATATCAACCAACGTAGAGGTGACGATGTTATATAAAGCATTTAAGTTATTAACGTCACAAAATAAAATTTTGCTGATATAAATTTGATAAAGTTTACTTTAAGATTTTCAGTATTATAAAGATTTATTAATGAAGCATTTTATTTCTATTAAAACTTAGTCGCTTTAAATTCGGATCNAAAAAATCATTAATGAAGCTTCTTATTTTCATTAAAACTTAGTCGCTTTAAATTCAGATCACTTAAATTCTACAAGTAACACAGGTGAGTAAACCTAAATTTATGACACACGTAAATTTTAAAAAATTCGCTTTATAAATTTTGTCATAAAAATAGAAAGGGCGCGTGCAGTTATGGTGTATTTCAATCTGTCACCGTAACATCGTTTCTCATACTTTTAGTTTTACAAAATATATTAACTTCACACTGTGTTTTCTAGGATTACGAGCCTGCTGGAATTTCGTAGTTTTCCGATAGTAAGTGTCGAAGTTGTATCCAAGAAGAGTCGTTATCCAGCGCTGCAAATGGTTTTCGGTGAGATTCAGAATACTTTTCTTGTTGGCGAAGATAGCAAGGGGAAGTTTGTGATCCGTGAGCAGCGTAAAAGGTCTTCCGTAAATCATCTTGTGGAAGTTGTTAACGGCGAAAATGAGTGAAAAATCTTGTTTTTCGATTTGACAATAGTTCTTGTCGCTGGAGCGAGAACGAGAGAAGAGTGAGCGATTGCCTTGTTTAATACGTCGGGCAGGCGGTGTTGGATGAAGGCATCAAGCCCTAGGCTTGACGCGTCGGCTGCTACAATGATATCGAGCATCGGATTATAGTGCGTGAGAAGTAAATTTGACTTGAGAATGTCCTTGATATGCTCAAAGGGCCGTTGGCACTTGTTTGACCACTACCACTTTCGATCCTTCTGGAGTAAATTGTCTAATGAATGGCGAATTTGACACATGTTATGGAAGAAGGATTGTTAATATTTTACGTGGATAGGTCTGTCGGTGACGGCATATCGATGATAGAGTCGACCTTAGAAGAGTTCGGGTGGCGTCCGCTCTTCTCGACGATGTAGCCTAAGTATTTCGTGGAATCCTTGAAGAATGCGCGCTTCTCCGGTCAGATTCGGAACCCAAAGTTATGGATGCATCGGAACATTTCGGGGAGATGTCGATGACGATCGTCCACCTTGCCGCTAACGAAAGCTATATCGTCTAGATATGCAAAGGCGAATGATAGTTCCGAGATCACGATGTCAATGATCGATAGGCAAATGACTGAAGCCGTCTTCACTCCGAATGGAAGACGTTGGAATTCGTAAAATTTGCGGTATGTTGCAATATTGCAGAGTTTCTTGGGTATATCTTCCAATTCCACTTGAAAATAGATGTCAGAAAAGTCTATTTGTGAGCATATTCGACCACCATTGAGCGTGGATAATATGCCTTCTGTAAGTGGTAAAGGGTGCTGATTGAGCGTGACAGCGTTGTAGAGATCAGTTGAGTACTTTACTCACAGTAGTGACGAACCTTTAGGTCGTAATTGCTATAATGGGAGCTGCCCATTCGACACAGTCAATAGGTTTGATCACTCCTATGTTCAGCAGGCGATCGAGAGACATTTTGACTTTGATGAAGGTTAAAGGTAAATAATAAGAATTAAGTTTAATAACTCAGGTATTTATCCACTATTATAAATTTATAATTTTAATATATTTGAAAATTTTAATATAAATGTTTATATAAGATTACTAAAATAATAAGCCTAATTCGAAATTTAATAGTTAAATTTGTTCCGTAAATAAACATT